CAAATTGAAACAAATTTTAATTTGAATTGATTTTTTTATTTGATTTTGAATTAATATTTAGGTTAAGGTTTAAGTTGGAGTTAACCACTTTTGTTCCTTTTTAGTTATTACCTTTAATTATGATTAAATTCATATTTTATGTTTGGACATCAATAATTGATATACTTCTAAGTGTTGTATTTTAAATTATACTTATGATTTATATTAGAAAGTATATTTAAGAGATACAATATTATTACTTCTCCTACTATATTTTTTTTTTCAAATTGCAAATATCAATATGATTATGTTAGTAATTAATGACATAAGCAAATAACCAAATCGAAAAAACCAAAATTGAATAGAGAAACCCAAACCAAATCAAATTTATTTTGGTTCGGTTTAGGTTACAATTTTTCAAAATCAAAAAATTCAAATTGAATCAAACCGAATGCACACCCATAGTGCAATCTATCGCAAAATACTTGTATGGATTTTCGCATCTTCCATTCGAATGTCACTTCTCACCAAATGATGCCTATGCTCATACATTCCAGTCTAATTTGGGGACCAATATGCTGGTCCATGCAAATATCGGAGAATGGTAATTTTTGAAATGTCGACACTCACCCCATGAATCTATGTGCTCTAATGGTGGTAATCACATTGCTGCCTCTTTCTTCTTTTTTTATTTGACGTAGCATCCTCCACTAAATTGAGTAACGTGGTAGCATATACGACATAAAATTCATGTGCGAGCTGCACCCCATAATGCCACAAAGATTTGGTCATCTACTCAAACTGGTACTAGTCAAACAACTCTTTAAGCTTTGACATTGCCGTTAGATTATTTGATACGCCCTGTAACTCCAGTACAATTGTTTTTTTTTCAAACCACTCATTTAATTCAAAACATCAATATCAAATATGTCTCGCGACCCCAACAACACCTCAATTAAGCGGCGATGGACAATCAGATCACTTTCTTTTTTGTTCGCGAACCGCTCGATTTTGTTTTTCACTTTTCTCCTCATTATCACTACCCTTCTCAGACTCATGCTCCTTGTCCCCGACATTATTTTTATCATCCCCAGAATCATTCTCATTGCCCAACCCCTACACCTCATCTACCTCCTCATTATTATGTTCGTTGGATTTTTCTTCACCAACCGACCCATCTTCCTCCTCTTCAAAATGGGAGAGAGTTGTCACAACTTTAGATCTAGTCCTCCGAGACGAATGTGCAGAGATCGTAGTAGTACACCAGACTTTTGACCCACTTGATGCGAGTCATGGAGTCGAGATAGTGCAATATCATGGGGTGATTCTAATTTGCGTCTGATTTGCCCATTGAACCTGTGGAGGAGATGTTAGAATCAAAGCAAAACAGGCGAAATAAAATTACACATGTTATTTATTCACGAAAGGTGCACGGGCCGTGAAAGCATTCACGGACTTTGGAAGACCTCGTAAACTTATGCCATAGCCAATTTTCAACCTATAGACCACGTGCCCCCATAGTCCGTGAAAGACATCATGTGAAGCTAAATACAGGTACAAACTTCATCAATTTGTATTCAAACTTCATGTTTATTCAGTAATTCACTACACTACACATCACCCCATGTCATCATTCTTACACCTAAAACAAAAATTCCAACCGTGTCCCACAAAGTTCTTCCAAACCTAATTAACAAGTTAAGAAGTCAAAATGGAAAAAATAACAGAAATATAAAGAAGGTTAGCCTTTAGCTTTTATTGGAATACCAATTATTATGAATACTATTGTTTGCCTTATCTTTTCAATAAGTTAGTTGCCTAAATCATTTTTTTAATAAGAAACTTATATTTCATTTTCATACATTTTGTTTATAGTGTATTAGTCTTATGTAAATAAAGTATTTCACTTTCAATAGTAATAATATTGTCAATATTTATACTAGTAAAGATTAAATTATCTTTAAAAGATATAAATCGTTTCTATGCAATATTATTTATTGGATGATGTTATATACAAAATTATTTATTAATATGAAGATACGACTATAGAACTGTTAATATGGTCTGACCCAGTTCATTCAGATTATCCTACATAAATTTTAAAATTTGAGGAGTCAAACTGGGCTTGTCCATTATTTTGGTACGATAAAAAACCTCAAGCTCAACTAATCACTATGTGAGTCACAGGTAGCGTGAAATTAACTCATTTCTTTTTAAAAGAACATATTTAAAATAATTTTTAAATTTAAATTTATGTTAAATAAATTTTTACAATACAATATTATATGTTGTTACTATACAAATATTTTGGGTACAACCAATTTAAGAAAATGATCTTCGCAAAGTTTATGTGAAACTAAATAACTTTTGAAACGAATAAATCAAGAGATATACCATTACTTAACATTGGCCTAAAATAAAGCATTATCCACTTAATTATCTCCCTAATTTACTTATTCACCAAAAATCCGTCCACAATCTCTCTTAATTATCTTCTACCGTGTTTATTACCCAATTCTCTCTCCTCCATCTCTCAAGATCTCCTTCCACCAAAATTCATTGATTTCATAAAGTGGTTTATTTCTCGAAGCTAAAGACGTGGATTCAAGGAATTTTTTCAAGTCTATTTTTGGGTAGATTCATGGTGGTGTGTTTTATCTCTATTAACTAATCATTTTTGTTAGAGATGGAGGTTTTAGGGTGGTGAATAGACGAGCAACGAGGTGGCGCTACTCTCAGGCCAGAGAGGAGAGAGACGAAGGGGGAGGAGGAGACACAATAATCAAAATATATATCTAATGAGGTATGCATATATCTGACAAAATAAACACTTGTATATAATTAAGAGTTTATGTATGATAAAATGTACATTTATTTGAGTTAAGATTAAATATATCTATGAGATAAGATTTTTTATGCTAGAAAAAAAATGGGAAGTAATTTGAAGTTTTTGAATTTTTTTTGGAGAATTTATTCAGGGAAGAATTGGAGAAGAAATTCAAGGAAGAACATGTGATTTGAGTTGGAAATCTTACAAAAAATATCTCTTTACGAACACTTTACTCCTAAATTAATGTGTTTCAGTTACCTCCATATTTGAATACACTCAATTTAATGTATCTTTTTAGCATGTATCCGAGATACATGTATACAGACACATTAGATACATGTATGTGGTCAAATGTAGGGATGATAATATCGAAAACTCACGAAAAGATATGTGATTAGCTCCTAAACTAGTTAGATTTATGTTATTTATCTTTTTTTACGCATACGAGTCAAGCAAACATCACACAAATATTAATCTAATTCATGCATTAATCATACTCGCTTGATTACACAAAATAATAGGTAGATTGTTGCATAGTTTAGTATAGGTAGGATTGTTCATGGTTATGGTTATAAAACCAAACCAAACTGCAATCCGAACCAAACCGATTAAAAAAATTGATATTTGATTTGATTTGGTTTTAAATTTTGAAAAACCAATATTATTTGGTTTGGTTTTGGTTTTACTAAAAATTAACCGTAAAAATAACCAAACCGAACCGAGAAGTTATATATATATATTACAATTATTTATAAATAAAATATAAGTATTTTGATAAATTTTAGTTAACCTAAGTCTTCAATTTTACTATTTTCTGAAGCCCAACACTTAAATTTTAGACCAACTCTAAAAAAGTTAAGTCTAAATCCCTCAATATTCATTACTTTAAAGATCATACTTTCTCTGTTCTATATAAAATTTTCTAACGCAACATTGAATAATCTAAAGCTCAAGCTAAAGAAGATGGCAATTGATTAGTTTTGACTATGAAATATTGGTTATTTTTTTGAGAAGTAATTTCTCAATATTTTAAGGTGTAATTTTATTGAAAAGTCTATTGATAAGATGTTGAGATTGTTGGGTTATGAAGGGTGATTAGGGCGTCATGCGGAAGCTTACAATTGCAATCAAGACGGTGATAAATTAGATGACAAATAAAGCGATACTAAAACATAATATTATTAATATGAAAACTAATTTAAAAGAAAAATATTATAACTGTTGAGAGAATAAATCTCCCCATAAACTAAACTCTTTAAATGTTTACATTGTGGATACTATTGTGTTTTTGATATGAGAAGAGGGTCTTCAATTTATAGATCTCCTAAGTTTTCCTCTAAGGAAATAATAAACCAAATATAGAAGAAAAATATATTTTCTTTTCATGAAAAGTAAAAACATTTATGGTAATGTTTTGTCTTTTCTTTTAAGAAAAAATAAATTTCAAATAAGGTAAGAAAATCAGGGCAAAACCCTAACAGAGATCTCCGGAATATTGAACCAACTTTATGCTATTGACAATGAGTTTTTTTAGTTTCCGAAACTTGGTACATTGGATGAATCACTTTGTTCGTGTAATAGTTTATTTGTGAATTATTCACGTACTAAGTGTTTTTGTCTATCAAGATGCGTATGTCCACAACAAACTTATTACTTTCCAACTGAAAAAATATAATCAAATCGAACCAAACCGGCGTTAACCAAACCGACTGTTATTTTTTTTATTTGGTTTGGTTTGGTTTGGTTTTAGAAATTTAAAAACCGATTTAAGTTGATTTGGTTTTGGTTTTAACTAATAACCGATCCAAACCGAACCATGAACACCCCTAAGTATAGGTATTATACAATACCACCAATTAAATGTGGCATATATACGTACGTTATATATACGACAATTGGACTTTTTTTTTATGAGAGAAATCAAGCATTAATATAATATATATTATCTTATGAGCAATTTAATATATTGGGACTAATTATTTCAAACTATCGACCAAACAAAACGTGTCAAAATTATTTAATATAGTCTTATATAAATTAAATAGCTACCAGATACATATGGAAGAAAAATGTACTAGCTCCACACAACAATATATATGTTGAATAGGTAAGATCCTTGCAGAGTTCCCAAACAGCATAGAGCTTGAAAATCTCGAATTCGATCAAGATTGAAGCAACAATGAACACTAGACTACTGGGAAAGTTGATGATCGATAGTAATATTATGAGAAATATGGCGAAGCAGCACCGGAACAGTGACTTCCGGTGCGCTCAGCTGCGGGAGATGACCTTCGGTTGAGATGACTTCGACAATTGACTTCCCACCCAGATTTCGGTGAATATATTCCGAAACTGCCACTGGTACGGCCAAATCCTTGGAACTCTGGATAATGTGACAAGGAACCGTAACACGAGAGAGAAAATGCCTTAAATCGAACGTAAAAATAGTACGAAAGACACTTAATGAGATATCTGGTCTCATGTTGAATAAGGTTCTGCTGAATTCTTGTACTGCCACTGAATCCATGTCGCCGCCAATTACTAGCGGCGCGAAACCATCGATCCATGACTTGTAGTTCGACTCCATCGCTTGACATAATTGATCGATATCTTCCTTTTCGAATCCTCCATAGTATTCATCTGAATTTATGAACCTATATATATAGAGAGAGAGAAAACATGTGTAGTTGTAATTCGATATTGTTTTCCATCATTTCATTTTATATAACTTGGTCCTTATATTAAAAAGAAAATATTCCTTTTGCCTGTCTATTTTCAATGAATCAAGAAAGTTTTATTACCTTTACCAATGTACTGTCATTAGTACTCTAAATAACTATAAGTTACTTTCTCCATTCTATTTTAGTTATCGTGATTTTCTTTTTTAAGCCAAATGGTAAGAACTTTGAGTAATATTTTACGATGTATTTTTCATCATATCGATATGTAAAAAATGCAATTTATAGTACTTTTCGTATATAACTTTTAATATCTAGATTTGTAGTTTAAAATATCGTAGTCAATAAATTGGTTTTTGAAAAGCGTAACATAACAATTAAAAGGGAACGAAGGGAGTATGAAGTACTTTTTTATATTCCCTTATATTAATGAGGTTCTTAACTACTTTACATTTCTTAGAAGAATAATTTGGGAATAATCAAAAGGAAATTAGTGGGAAGTAGTAGCATTTTACAATTTACTTAATATAGACTTGAAGGAGTACTAAACACTTCATCTAAGACTACACCAAATATATTAGAGACTTTGTTATTGTAAACCTTTCAAAAACATATAAAATATTTTGAAAATATTGCGAATATGAATCAGATGTACATACGTAGTATTAATTTGAATCAAGTAAATGTATAAATTCTTTTAAACTACAATCAATTGAAATTATATATAAAAGAAAATACACTAACATTATATATAACTCAAATCTATTTGAATTTGTAGTATAATAACGTTCGATCTCACCTTGGTGAAGCAGAAAGCAAGATGAGTTTGGAGAAGAGATCAGGACGAAATATGGAAGCAACAACACCAGTCATGGATGACAGAGAATGTCCCAAATATATGCAAGAATCAATTTGAAGTTCCTCTAAAATGGCAAGTAAATCATAGGCATAACCTTCAAGAGTAGCGTATCGTTCAAAATCGAAATAATCTGGATTAGTCGGACCAGAGCCCATGTTGTCATAAAGAACAACACGATAATTGTCGATTAAGTAAGGAACAAGATGTTTCCAAACAGATTGATCAGTGCCAAAACCATGACCAAGTACCACGGTCGTCTTGCCTGACCCAATAACTTTAACATTGTGAGCCTGTTCAACTACTCCCATCGCACTCTTCACACAACAGATTCACTTTGAAGTTTACTTATTCGCTCTACCTTCTTTCTTTAAACTTTGATTTTTGATAAGCTTTTTTAGTCACTACCCCCTTCCTTCCAAGATATATATTTGTATTAATGTATGATTGGTCGTAGAATAAAGTTGTGTGGTGTGGAAACTAAAGTACTCCAAAAGGTATGCATATGCCATAATTATTTCCTTTTCAGATTCGCAAGCCACATAACTTGACTTTGGGTGGTTCGATACTGGGGTCACTCGAATCAATTTTTCAATTTTATTTGACTTGGAGCATCAAGGATCCTCCGACAATTTTTTTTTGTCTTTTTTATTGTCCATATGTTCTCCCTAAACATGCCTGGAATATTGTTGTATTCCATGGCAATTTGAGGAAATAATAAAATTTCCTAACCACTTAAAAAATGAATTAAGAAAAAAAACAATCTTTTCAAACTTGTTGTGGGTAACCACTCGTAAAATAAACATAATTTTTGTAAATAAAAAAAGTACAAAATCAATTGGTCGGCGTGCCTTCAATTTAAGACGCAGCTCACGGAAAAAGGTTAAACTATATTGACAATAATATCTAGCTAGCTCACGAAGACATTTTCTTCATCACACAAATAAAGCAAACGATCCCCCAACCTACCAAATACATGTAAATGTCAACCATATATAATATCTATCCACGATGGTCCACCTCTTTTTTATGAGTACTTATTAATTCTACTTTAACACTTCCTTCATTTCAATTTATATGATATAAGTTTATTTGAGTATCAAGTTTAAGGAAGATTTTTTTTTTAAAAAAAAAAAACTTATAATCTAACATTAGTCAAAAATGTTTGTGCAATTCTAAGTCATTCCATTAAGGATAAAATGAGTAATTAAAATGAATTAATAGATATAAAAATACATTATTTTTTAAAAAAACAGATTTAAAAAAGTGACAAAAGGAAGATTCCCGCATATAAAAAAACTTTTTCACATGCTTAACAAATGCAAGTAGACTTTTCTCTATGCCCGTAGCAATTATATAAATTGGAAAAGAGGCCAACACAATAATGATATCCCCATCCACTTTGTTGACCATGTATTGGTTTTATCATTTATGTATATTTTTATAATATTAATTTGGTTAATCTAAAGGGTTTGATCTTTAGAAATTTTTAGTATTCTTTTCATCTTAATTTATGTTGTATTTTTCGATTTTCAAGAGTTATGTAACTATTTTTTAAAATTAAATTAATTTAGTATTTTAAAATCAAAATTTAATTATTAAAAAATTATATGAAAAATATCATAAGTTACCATTCCTCTTATATCATTATGTCAAAAAAAATATTCTAAAATATTAATTAAAACTCACATGATTTAAACCTCAAAAAGCAAAGAGTGTTGCATAATTAATTTGAGACATGGATCGTATACGATACCTGGGCTCCGGGAGGGGGAGATGCAAGAAAATCACCAACTTGACCGAGTATTAAATTTATTATATTATAATTGGAGATTTTAAATCTAATATTTATTGAGATTTTTATAAAGTTTCACATAAAAATCTATACCTTTATACTTTACGTAAAGTACTTGAGTAAGCTACCATATACTCCGTCCGTCTCAATTCAGGTTTTTGATTGGGCAACAAATTTGGAAAAGAAATAAAGACTTCCAAAGGTTATGGTATAAAAAGGTCACAGAGAAATGCAAAATGAAGAACTGGAAAGGATACAATAAATTCACATTCTATAAATCTATAAACTCCAAAACTGTTTTCTTCACTCCGGTTAAATTACTACAAATACATAATGAACAACACTTTAGTGTACAGACATTTACTCGTCCTGATCTATATTCCTGATCCACTTGGTGGCCACCCATTTTTCTCCTCTTATTACTGGACAGCTACCGTGAAGTGAGGTCTGCATTAAAATTCAAACAAACATGAAAATCGCAAGGCCATGTATATATAATGAAATTATGCATTACATTATGTTGATCATCAACTTCTTTGGTAATTTATATACTATGATTTACAATTAGTCGCACTGGAAGAAGTAAAAGGAAGACGCAGAGCATAATCTAATTGCATTAAGCAAACTAACATAGCAGCATTAGAATTTAGCAGCTACAGATGGCACGAAGTTTGCCTTGTATTCCAGCTAACCTATTGCGGATCAGCTCTTTGAAACAAAATTATTAACTGACTGACTACTCCTTTCTATATGTTATTGTTCTTACACCAAAATAACATCACAATGAACAATCAGAAAATTTCAAGTTGACAATGAATGCATTAGAATAGCTCACCAGATCAATTGTACCATTTGGAAGCAGTGAGTAGAATAGAAGTCCGTCCCCTCTGCGTGGCTTCACTTTCAAACCAATACACTTGCTGTAATCATAGTTACCATCCATGTTCTGTGCGCTCTGTAGATAAACCATAAAGGACCATGTACAAGTCAGGCATACAAAGAAAGGTAACGATCGGTAGAGAGAGAGAACAAAAGAGAGTAGAGAGGAACTTGATCTCACCTCAAAAGGGAACACAGTTTCCCCACCTTCTTCAACATCGGATAAATATAATAAGAAGGATGCAACCTAGATGAGATTAATGAAAGTTTAGTCCAGAAAAGTGAGAGTAATCATTCCTTAATATTAAATGCCAGTGAAAAAATTCTTGACCAATGAATATGTCATGGTTAAAAGCGTAGTACAATCCCTGTAAACTTGCTCGACACATTTTCACCTGATGGTTCCAAGGTTGAAGTTAAGATCAGAAATTTTCCATGAAGAAAAGAAAAAAGTTGGACATAGAGGATGTCACATCAATGGCAAGATAAGAAACCAACAGAACAATTATTGTCATCTTGATTATTGAAGAGAAATTAACTAGAGCAGTAATGGAGAACATAGTAACAATTGGATTTCTTTAGTCAAAAGATAAAACAATATTTTCAAACTGAAAAAAAACAGTAGACAGCATGTCAACCTGCTTTGAAGACTTTCCATTAGGAGTGATATTTAAATTGTAAAAATAAAGATGGTTTACACTTAAAGCATGCAAATAATTACTTTTACTAAATTTTCTCGCAAAATTCACATGCTTAATGACAAAAAACTGCCCCCGTCTTTGAAAAGAATATTCCAATCTGAGATAAAGCAGCATATTTATTTATCAATTTTGTCATCTGACACATGCTAGAGAGAGTTCAGTAAAGTACTGCACAGAAGGACCAGCATCTGCAGTTTTGAGGTAAAGCGAGTAAAATGCCATATTAATAATGTGGAGTTGTTGCAACCGAATTCTGCTTATTTATGACATAGAACCCAATACTTAAATCAAACACATCAAAGCTTTCTATTCTAATTATATGTTATCCTGGGGAGAGGAGGATGTTTATGAGTAACATGGAATCATGGATAAGCACAATATCATCATGCACAGATAATCAAATACTATAGTATTCCACCATCCATGATGCTGTTTTGTGTAAGATTTCAATTGAACTACAAGAGAAATAGTGAGTCAATTAGAAAAAATAGCACCACTGCCAAATTTAGTTCATACATACCCTTTGGCTCTTCTGAGGGCCATATTGAGCAGGATCGAAAGCATCATAATGTGACTGATATCTTTGCCCAATTTCATACCGCAAAACATTAAACGCCTGAAACACGTACAAGTTCACCGAAGAGCAAAGGTCAAATTATTCAGCTTGAAGAAAAATAATGACCAGAGGAATATAACACTTAGCATCTCCCTGAAGCAGAGAATCATTCAAAATCAGTAAGAAGTGATAAAGAGAAAATTGAGCTACAAACACACCAATGTTTATTAACCTACAATGATCGAGTTAGCAGATTGACAAGCTGTCAATTGTCACATGAATTAGGAACAAACATGTGTTATATATGTGGTTACATTGCAAAGCGAAATCCAGTAAAGAAATTGACCGAAGTATTCTGGAAAAACAGCTCAAAACCTCCATACCAGGCAGTTTCAGATGCTAATCAAAATGCAGATATTTTTTTTTTATGACCGCGGTGTCCGGACCAGCTTTCGCACAACTCAACTAATTCCACAGGATACCTGCCAACTCCCACCAGCAACTGGTACCTAGTTACCTAGTAACTCTGTCCACCAGGGCTAGGACAAATGAAAAGAATCAACTAGTGTTTTTTGTCTCTTAGAACTGCAAACTTGACCCATTGACTCATGGTTTTGTCCTTTGAAAAACAATCTCTTGTTAGAAGCAGTGTATCCACACCATTATGAGATCTATGATCACCTACGCTATACCATAATCTCTTGCATCTTAGCTACTTTAGAATAAACGGCCTCAAAAACACCTGCCAAATTCGGTAAACTGTCATCTGAATTTCATTGCATTACCATTCTGAATTCTTTTATTACTTCACCCTAGCCTGTAACTTAATAGGCATTATTCTGAACTTCAAATTTCAAATATCACTTCTCAGATTGACATGACAAATCAGTGTTTCAGTGAGAAGTATTGATCTTAGTATACAAAGGCTAAAATACTCCTTATCAAAATGAAAAATGAGGTCCACTTCTTCTTTTAAGTTCTTCAGTACATCACTTGATAACATAAGATTACTTCAAAAGCTAAATTGGACCCATTTCTTTTAAATTCTCAAAGCTATCAGAAATAAACATTTTAATCTTTTTCTTGGTATATGCTCTTTTAAGAATTAAATAAATTGAAGTTCACATGATTGATTCTATGCCAATCAAACGAGAAGTTTATACTATAATTTTATTATGATATCTAACTAGTTTCAAAATCACGATCATCTTTCTTTTTTTTTTTTTCAAATACTAGCACTACACAAATGATGTCAACTAAACTAGGATGCAGAGTAACGACCATTTTGCTGGTGCACTGGGTATGATAGGTGGGGTAGTCGTTTGGATGGGGCCTTTTTGGGTTTCGGGGGGGGGGGGGATTTAGAAGGATTTTCTTCCA